GAGCAAACACTCACTCGACCATTAAGCCTAAGGGCTGCTCTTACTTCGAGTTCGAAGCGAACACTCACCCGACCATAAAGCCTAAGGGCTGTTTTTCAATTCGAGTTGGAAAAATCATTCTCACTCGACCATTAAGCCCAAGAGCCGTATTGATTCGAGTTCGAACTATTGCCCCAAATCAGGGACTAAGTATCAAGCTTAAAAAGGCTACTTTATTTCAAGTTTGAGCAAATCATTTCATTTGACATCTATCCATCGAACCTAGGGGCCACCTCAGTTCGAATTCAGACATTCACTCGGGGACTGCCTATAAGAAACGGTCAAGTGCAGTACTTACTACCGGACTTAACTATCTCAACCTTGGACCTTCGAATAATTATTCAATGCTAAGGAACTTTTGACCTTTGTATGAATTAACAAAAAGGCAAAATATTCGGAAGCCATAAAAGGGAAAATGTTTTATGTACAAATCTTTTACAAAGCAACTCGGCCCAAATGAAGTTCTTTACAAAGGCTGAAAGCAGCCTCAAAAGAAATAACAGCAACTACCTAAGATCCTAAATGGCTTGGTCTTCATCGGAGGCCGCGTCCTCGGCATCTTCCCTACCTTCAGATTCGCTCGAGCTATCGGAGTCTTCCTCAGGGAAGTCCAGCCTTTGAGCCTTGTTTTCCTCCGCCTTGGCAATTTCAATCTCGGCCCCAACATCGAAGCCCTGAGCACTGACCTCCTCGATAGCTTATCTCAGAGATTGCCATTTAACGTTCTCGACCATGCTCTTGGCTTTGGCTTGATTGACCTCAACATCGATCCTGAACTGGGCCACTTTAGCATCAGCTCTTTTATTGGCCTAGATCACCTCAGATATGGCCACTTCAAGTTCGTCAGCCAAGTTTGCTTTATCAGAAATAGCCAAATCTAACTGATGTTGAAGCTCCTTCATCCTTTCGATTAGCCCCGAGGCATTTTCTTTTGCAGATCAAAGTTGGGCCTCGGACAACTCTAACTGAGCTTGAACGACTTCCTTTTTCGAGGCAAGGATATCCATATTCTTTTTAAATTCTTCCGCCTCGGCCATTAGCCCATCTACCTGTGAGTTGAGCCATCCGATCTGCTCGATCCTCTGCCGAACCTGCAGAATAAGATCGTTAGTGGTTATCTCCAATTCATCTTCACTATCATGGAAAATTCGAAAATACCTGCTCCGCCATCTCCTCGTGCTCTTCCCGAGTTGCTGTCAAATCTGTTCGAAGTTTCTCACTAAGAAGCTTGTAAGAGTCACTCTTCTTAGTGAGGTTCCGAACCTCAGCCTCGTGCTCCTCTCGGATTCGGAGGAAGGCCTCGTGATGCAGCACCAAAGCCTACAAGCATAGGAAAAATGTTAGAATTAACTACATATCTAAATATAAGAGAAACAACAAAGATGCCATCAAAATTACCCAATTCAGAGCATGCTGGACCTCGTTGAAAATGCAGGTGGGTCCTACCGCATTCATCACTGATTGATCCTCTACGGTCATCAAGGACTAAAGGTAACTAGCAACCCCTACGGGGGGAGAGAAAATTCGGGTATTTTTCGGGACGGAGAGCACTACCCTCCGCCTACGATCGGGATCAACACTCGGGGACGGGAATTGGTCCACCAGTTTTAGAACTGATGAAGACCCGCCAGAGCCCGACCATGATGCTTTCTTTGGTATCGGTAATCCATCAAACCCGATAACCTCCTCCGAGGCAGCTGACTCGATCCCATTCAGAAAACCGTGGATATCGGTCGGCTCCTGAATGCCCTAGTAGGATCGACCTTCCAACATGCTGGCCTAATGGATCATAGCATCTGATATCTGAGGGGATCCAGTAACATCAACTATCCCGAGCTCGTACCTCGAGATATCTTCTGCCCGAGATATCCTGCCCTCGGTCTCTCCCTCGACCATCTCAGCTCAAGATCGAATATTCTCGGCTTTCCCTTGTTCGGGAATCACGGCCAGAACTCCCTTATTAACCTCCGTTGATTCGGAGGATTGTTGTATCACAACATTTGCCCGTACACAGGCTAACTCATCTTCTTCTTCTTCTTCGGGCTCATCCCTTAATCGGCGTATCGAGTCCAAAGGCATGATATCGGAGCCCCCCTTGGGTTTGCGAGTTCTCTTCACCGGTTGCATTCCTTTTTTATCTTTTCGAGAATATTCTCGGTGATTGAATACTGGTACCTCGAGACCGACTCACATCGGCCCGGTACCGAAGAGGGTTTTTCAACTTTGAAATCAATGACAGTCGAGCACCCTACCAGAACGAACTCCTCGGGGCAGGGCTCCGCCGCATCCTCGCTGCCGGTAGGCCGCGATGAAGAAGCGACCTCTTTCTGCAGCACCGTTTTGGAGGTTTTCGCCATTAATGAATAAAGGAAAAGAGAATTGGGTTTGTTTGTGATGTAAAGTATATGTAGCAGAAGGATTTTTGAAGAAGATACAAGAGTAGAGGAAAAAATTTTGAGTAAAAAGTTTGGATGTGAATAAAAGTTTGAATATTTATAGGCCTGATAATGACGGTTCAGAACCGGTAGTAGCCGACCAATAACTGACAAACATTTAATGTCTTGGTAATTGGACCGATAGGATATTTGTCACATACGTCATAATCGGGCTCGATGCAGACGTCAGTGTATATCTAGTCAGAAGTTGAAAAATCATATCGTTTCTCGCCACATTCTTTCCGAGAAACGAGGGGACTATCTGTATACGGTCAAAACCGAGTTTGCCCTTCGTATAATTAGCCAAGATTGAAACATAATGGACCGAATGTCGTCATTATAATATCGGGATATGATGAGAAGCCGGGTTATCGAGCTCAAGACCCAGATCGATCAATACCGGCTCGAGTCAGTATCGAGCTCGAGTCAATATCGAGCTCGGGTCAATATCGAGCTATAATATAAAGTGGAGTTAATATCGATCTCGAGATCCAGATACCGACCACTACCAAAACCGACTAAGATCGAGCTAAGAGACGACAAAGTTATTATAGCCACACTAAGGGAGAGAATCTCGGCAGAAAACAAGGAAAAACTAATTGATTAATCTATCATGTGATCCCCACTATGTATTTTTAATTATATCCAAAGTACGATTCTTTCACTATATGAAGAGTGGTTATCATTTCTGTAAATGGAGGACATTGAACATTAAGACATCAATACATTCTCACATCTCAAAGATTATTGATTTTACCCAGAAATATAGCAGAGATTATCTTTTTTTGGACTTTGGACATTGATTCATCTTGCTTGTTTATAAATCATTCTCTACACAATTTGGTTTGTTTTTCATTCCTTTTCTTACGGTCAATATTCGACATATTTCTACTTATTTTTCCGATTTGTGGCAAGTTATACCATGTATCTTTAGAACTACGTATAAATTCAACTCTATCCGTTTTTCGGGTAAATATTTAGGTTTACCGATTTAATTTAAATTAAGATTTTAATTAAACCAACTATTAATTCAAATGAAATCTAAAAAGAATTAAACGACACATGTGGTTCCACTTGGCACTTTTAAAAGTGTTTTAGGAGAGTAAACACGCACACATATAAAAACTACGTATTGAATTAGGAGTTTAATTCTTGAAAGCTATAGTCCAGGGGTAACATGAACAATGTATAATTTAAGCATAAAATATGCAAACATATACTAGCTTAGGGTGGTTTTAAGCCATCAATAAATGGCTTTTCTTTGCAAAGAACCTTGTATTCTCATGCTACTACTTTGTGGTGGATAAGTTTACCATTTCTTGAAAGTAATAGTGTCATGAGCTAAATAATCAACTTGTCATTCTATGTTATAATACACATTGGAATATAAAGATATTTTGGAGTGAGTCCTCCAAACTAATTTAAGATATTTGTGTGTCCAAAGACTATAGAGATTGAAAATAAGTTTGATACTCAAGAATATATTGCCTATCTGGCCAAAATCAATCATTAATTGGCTAAAGCTTTAATAGATCAGGGAAGTGTACAAGACTACTTGTTGTAGGGTACAAGTAAATAAACTTATCAAAAACCATCTACTTGCTTTCATATGTTATACATCAATTTAAAAGAGTAAAGTAACCAAAAGCAAATTTTATCATTCACATATCAGATAACAATTTGCCTGCAAGTGATACATTATGTTTTATTATTTAACTACAGGAGAATACTAGGCAAGACAAGATTGGCTTTTATTTTTTTTCCCTCGATTACAACTCATGCTATGATATTGAAATTGTTTTAGTATTAAATATTTGACAATTATTATTTTTCATATTGTTAAAATGAACATGACAAAGTTGTTGCTCTTTTCCATTTTTGTGTTTTCTTTAATATTTCAAGCAATAAGATTTCAAGATTACACCTATCACAGGGTTTACATGAACAGATACAAATACGACCAGCTATGAATAAATTTTTGAATTATAGTACACATGTAGGAAAGACTACTGCCAATTATTCTACTACCTGTACTTATAATATTCTAATGTTTAAGCAGCAAGTAACTTTATTCTCTTGATTGGAGAGACTTAGCCTTTCAATTTCTTACAAACAAATCATATAATAGCTAAGCTAAGCCTTAAAAATTAGTGTGCTAAAATACTTAGCAAAATTAATTCTATTGTCATTGTGTCACATGCAAAACACATTACAATAAGCATGTGTGCCATGTTACCCAGAATCACACCAACATTAAAACATCTAAAAATTACACCCAGTGACCTTGAAAATGGATGGTCTTGATTTTTTGACCCCCGCTTGCCTCATGGGCAAACTTATAAGGTCAAAAGTGTTGCCCATGAGGCAACCGAGGGCCAACACTTGTTGCAAATCACCCTTAAAACATGGCAGCCCCGAAAAAGTGGGACCGGCATGCACACCTGGATTGGCTAAATGTCAAACATGCAGTAGACCATGCTTGCTACTCAAAAGTCAAAATAACTCAATGTTGTATTCCCAAGACAATGAACTCAAGTAAAAAAACTGTTTTGGTGTGATACAATAATGTGACAAGATTTAATAATAATGATAATCAAGAGGAATTCCCAGTATGGGGTTACAATGATGAAACACTGGAATATGTGTTCAATGAAACCAGAATTAGAGGTACAAAAGAAATTACTTCCCAAAGAACCATAGTTGTCAAAGAATGAAGTGCTACAAGAGTCTAATATAAGCCAGAATGATGACGATTGTCCACTGGTATGTCTGACTGCTTTTTCTGAACATCCTCAAGAATTTGTTTTGGTGGAAAACACGATTTACCTGGAACGAATTAATTCTTCCGAAGCACATATGGTAGGACAGAGGAATCTAAGACCATTGCTATCACACAACTATGTAGAATTTAAGAGGAAAAGTAATTAGCAGGCTGCGTTGTAAAGGGCTTGCTCTCAATATCCAGCCATAATTTTCTTGAAAAGTTCCTTTGGAGCTGGAGTTTCAAGACATGAATCACCACAAGAAAAGGATAATCAGTGCCAATGTTATGCCATGACCACACAAGTTGAGGAATGAACTTATCATAAAAATTACCTGGCAACCCTGTAAATCTCTCATATTGTTCATATGCCTGCCCGATAAACATTTCAACTCCGGTTACAATTTTTACTCCACTCTCTTGAGCTTCGCGCAAGAGTCTAGTGATTTTGGGCGTATAAACAGCATCAAATACAAGTGAGTAGTACCTCAAAGCTTCCTGTAATTTGGAAGCAGTTCATAGAAATTTAAACAACGTTTTATCAGTAAATAGCATGTAGGAGCATGAAGCAAAAAATATACGTCTATTTGAATAATAAGAAGAATCTTAGATGACAGGAACCGGTTTCAGGAAATAGTGATGTAAATTGACATTAAACCTACACGAGGTCACATAAAGAAATCGGACACCCCAGTATAGAATGTGCTGAAAAGTTCCATTAGCAAAGAGAAGGCACATTTTGAAGTTCATTGCTGAAGACAAATTAAGTAAAACCAAGAACAGCATTGAAGAATATCTCATGGGAAGCTAATTGGCATTGAGATGCCCAAGAATGTGGTACACGTCTGTTTAACATTATCCTCCTTATAGCTGTCGATGGTAAGTTCAAGTTTCCAGAAAGATATCTTGCTCATTTTTAAATAGACACCAATAATAGTTTCTCATGTGATCCGCTTCACTTTTCAAAATCATAAATTGCAGTTATATACAAAACCTATATAACCTGAGTGGCTAGCGGGCAGCTAATTTCATGCCCAGAGTTACGTTTTACTATCCACAAGTAGAAGATGTAAGGAGTTGGACAAGAGTTTCTTGTGAATCAAGATTGGACGACAATGCGTGTTTGTGTGCGTGCATGTATTGGTTAAGAAGATTGGCTAACAGCCTAACAGCATACTAGTCTTTATGTTATTGGCTGCAAAGACCTAGCAACATGGAGATTTATTCTTTTAGCCACAAATGCTCTGCCCCCGCTATATGTTCTATCCATTTCATGGGCTATTCTGCTGAAAATAGTGCATCCAGCTTCCTCAGGACCGAAGTTAGTTCTTTCTGACCCACAGAAATGTCAAACTTAAGCATGCATTTTGTCTGCCTTGTAGAAATAAAGCATAAAATTATTTGCTGCATCTGAAATGCCAGTTATCAGCCCACATCTTATATCAAACCCGTCAACAACACCCTATCTCAACAGTAGCAGCATTAGAAGCACTTAACACCGAGTAAAGTTCAGATTGAAAGCAGCAGACCATGATCTTGAAGTGGTTTCTTACAACCACTTCCTTTTCTGACAGAACAGGTCTTATCTGTTTTATCCCGTTATTCTTCCAATGGAACAAATCACCAAAATACTCCTTACATAGCCTAGAACTTCCGTTTAAACCACTCATGGCATGCCATTCCTCGAAGCACCAAAGAATAGAGGAGGAAGTTTGAGATTGTGAGCCATGACAACAAGGTATATAATTTTTCATAAGGACAACAGAATATGGTCAAAACTACCCCTATCATTTGGTAAACGGTTTAAAATTACCTTCCGTCCACCTTTTGGTCCATAAACACACACAATGTTATCTTTGGGCTTAAATTTACCCTCCCACTAACGGCAAAATATGTGGGCTCCATTTTTAATGCGTTGGCTGTGTTTTCGATATTGTGCCATTAGCGGGAGGGGTAAATTTAAGCCCAAAGATAACGTTATGTGTGTTTATGGACCAAAAGGCGGACGGAGGGTAATTTTAAACCATTTACAAATGATAGAGGTAGTTTTGACCCTTTTCCATAAGGCCAATAAAGGTATATATTTAGAGACGTCATCTGTTGACTAGACAGGTTTGTAAGGTTATGAAAGGCCCTACAATTGGGTTCTTTAACTTAAAGAAGGTTGATATCTATCTATATAGGAATTAGGATTACATACACATTATGGTCCGGAACATATATACACTTTCCCCAAACTTCATAATTTCTTTATGATCAAAACCAAAGAACAACCCATATATCTTTTGCTACTTTTGTGAGAAAGAGATGAGCAATAAATATAGTTACCGAACATAGAATTCGTTACAAAGATACTTCAGGTTTATGGTTAGATCTTTATCCTATATTAAAACAGTGTAATGTAGAGAAGTAATTGTTGAATGCTGGATATGAAGGTAATAGACGGAAAAATGTTTTTCCAAGCAAAAGAAAAAACAAAAGCTCCGCTCCCATTCAAATTGGTAAAGCATGTATTTCCAATATTGAGCCCTCTGAGAAAACAGAAAAATACAGAGAAGCAATTCACGAATGCTGGGTATGAGCTAATTGAGGTAAAAAGTTTCCAAGAAAAAAAGGGATCTCACCGACCCCCCCAAACAAAATGAAATTAAAATACTCCGTCCCATTCTAATTTATAAAGCTTGTATTTTTAATACTGAACCCTCTTTGTTTACCCATTTACTGTGCATGATATTAACCATGCAGCTCTTCAACTAATAAGACACGGATTCAGTAACAAGTTGTTTAATCTAAGAAAACTAATGCAAGGAGGCAAACCTTAGAGATTGGTGTATCATCAACCTTTGGTTGCATGCCAATGGAGGTGGTATTTGCAAGAATCATGTCATTTTCTGGATGGAAATTGCTAAGCTCGTCAAGAGACAGAGCCTGACCTCCAACTACATCAGCAAGTTCTCTCGCCCGTTCTTCAAGTAATATGACAGCACATCAGTACAAAGTAACATAGTCAACCTCCAAATCAATACCAGAGTAAAGTGACTAAGCAATGATAATAAGAATTTCAGCAATTGTCATTAGCTACACGGAATTTCACTACCATAGGTACGGTTAGCAATCACCACCCGAGCCCCCTTTTCCTTTGCACCATAAGCAAGTGCCTTGCCAGCGCCACCAGCACCAATGACCACAAACAATTTACGAGCTAAGGGTGACCCAGACATAATAGGTTGTGAGCCTGTACAACGAAATAACAAAGCTCAAACATTAAGAAGCTCTAACTTCAGAAAAGGATGTTTGCAGTGGATAAAATGATTCTGACCTTGCAACGCCTCTTCAATGGCGGAGATTGCACCCACATAGTCTGTATTGCAACCAAACAACTTCCCATCAGGTCGCCTTACGACACAATTGACAGCCCCTATCAACTGCAGGATAATTAAGAAACCAAGTAATTGCATGTGATATAACAAATCATCAAAATATTTTGCAATATTGATCCCTGTAAAAATACAAAACAAATAAAAAAACAACAGCTGAAAAGCATTATAAAATCATGATATAACTAATACCTTAGCGGTAGGATTAACTTCATCGCAGCAGTCGACAATGGCTTCCTTGTGAGGAATTGTACAGCTGCACAACATAAAGTTGCATAACTACTTCTAAACATGCATATGAATTATATTTATTAGGCATGGACGACACACACAAAAATTTGGAAGAACACAACAAGGATGACCCATGAAAAACAAAAACAAACAGAAAGCAAAACATAAAAGAAAAATCCAGTACGTACATTCAACCCCATGAGATATGGTATATACATGTAGATGTACATGATACTTTCTAAGCTGTGAGAAAGGGGGGAATTTGGCATGACTACCCTGATGAAACTAAAAGACAATGGTATAAACTACCAGTTTCTGTTTTGAGAGCAAACCTGAAGCCAGCAAAATCTAAAGATGAGTAAGTCCGAAAGAAATTTGCAACATCATCTACCAGCAAAGGCATATAAACACCATTAAACCCAACTGATCTGAAAGCTTCATTATACAATAAAGGTGATTTGCTATGGCTAACAGGCTTCCCGATAATGCCAAATATTCTGGTATCTGGTCCCAACTGTCTGAAATTGTATATACTCAAAAGATCTTCAATTGTTGGTTGCCCAGGAGCCGAAACTTTTCCTACTTCAAGAGTACCAAATGTGAGGTATCCACCAAATTTTGGACAAAGTATTCGAGACATCAAACCCTTCTCTCCCATGACCATGGCTATTATTGGTACCTATTTGAACAAAGTGCAAGAAATGCATTGATGTTTAATCACGAGAAGCATCTCAAAATGCAAGCAAGCTCATAGTCAAGCAGCAAACTCAAAAAAAAAAAAAAAACAGAGGCTCAAGGAGATGGGGGACAAATATATTACGCATAACAAAACCTAAATAACAAATAAATACATTTCTGCATTTATGCATGTGAAAAATATTATAGTGGGAGCAGGAAAAAAACGAACTTCAACCATGATGACAACCAGCTTATGATTGGAGAAACTAATGTATGCTGATTTCATTCTTATATTCCAAAATATGGAAAAACAAAGGAGGTCCAACTTGTAGTTTTAGTTATTGCATTCCATCAATTGGTTTGAAAGTCTAAATTTATGATTTTCCAGGAATTCAAGAAATAAATTAGATCAAATGCAGCCAAGTATCTAAAATCTAAGCTTTTCAATCTTCTTTAGTTCTGAACTAGATCCCACTTTATCCATTTGGGGGTCAAAGAAGACTAGCTTGCCACCACAATATCATTCAAATGAAAAACATCGCAAAGTATGATGTAGTAGGATGACTTTTGCATATTTGGTCATTTAACCCAATCATACACTATGAATTGCTAAACCAAGCCTTGAAGCTGGACAGTGATTGCGTCCATTTCATGATGAGTTACACAATTCTTTTCTTTTTAAAAACGGGGTGATCGGGCCAACTTGTACGGACCTCGACTACTCCAGCTGGTACGTACTACCTTCCACCAGCACAAGTACCGAGTGACTTTGTCCAGCAAGGCTCTGAAAGATGGCTAGAAACCTAGAGTTTGTGGTGACCCAGTGGGATTTGAACTCTGGTCTCTAAGGTATGTACACACTTCATTGGCCATGAGGCCACACCACTGGGTGCATGATGAGTTACACATGTGTAATACTAATAATCATTTTAACCTATTTTTCATGTGCATATCTTTATAGATCCAGGCTCAAAATCTAGGAACTTCAAAAAAATGATAAAGATATCTTTTTATCTTTATCGGGCAGTTAGGTTCCTGGAGTGCGCATATATACCTGAACCTAGGTTCTTGTAATTTTCTGCACCAAATTGGAGGGTGGACTAGTGGCCCCTGCTTGGTGCACCTCCTTTTCCTTGTGGCTTATCTAGAGGATTACTTCTCAAACAACCCCTTGAATGCAGCCNCCCACCCAAAAAAAAAGCTCCAGATGTTGAATAAATGTTTCCTTTAACCCTTTCTCGTCCACCAAGCGCCCCATCCAGTGACTCCTTCCTCCAATTCAATTTTTCCTTCATGCCTGGTTAATTTGCAAAATGGACCATCTTCCACAATCAATGGTCATCCGCCTCTCTTATACCCCACTTCCAACTTCCTTAGTCCAAAAATATATTAATGGAATATTTGAAAATTAAATAGAATTATTTCCAACTGAAGGGATTATTTTTATATTCAATAGAACATACAAGGTTGAGTGTCAGTCTCACAATATTAAATCCCTACAGCGGTCCATCCTATTGGGTCTCACCAAATAAGAATCCATCAGCCCTTCACTAGAATCCAATGATGTTATAATCTATCATCCACAAATCACCTTATTTCAGCCCAAAAGCATATAGTACAACCTCATCACTTGACATACCAAAAGGCCCCTTAATTGACAAGTGATATCAGATGTCATTCACTTGAGAAAATGTCTCAAAGGCATTGATACATACAACAATATTGATTCTACTATCTACCTTTGAGTTCTTCTTGCAATGGGAAATATCATCAGATAATTAAGATTTAACAAACCCCCACCTTTTTCGGGGAGAGAGAAGGTGAGGGAAAGAAAAACAGTTAATTTTGGAAGCTATTCTCATTGTCTTTGTCCCTCTTATTACCCTTACATATATCTAGGTTATTAATGTATACCCGATCAGAAGTTTATCCAACTATACCTAACTTATTGGTGTGTATGGCCTACTACAAATCTACAAGAGGCAACCTGCTTCTAGATTCAAGCTATTATTATCACGCACCAAATCCAGCTCAGGAGAAACCATGATTTATCACCAAACAAATTTGAAAGCAAGTTATGGCTTGAAAAACTTGCTATACTACTTACGCCGCTTACTTGAGAATGTACAGTAATTTGGAATACACGTGCAACATCGGTGATATCCAGTGCAGTTGTTGCAAACTTCACAATGTCAGCTCCAGATGCCTGTATTCTTGCTACTAGATTGCCGAGCTCCTCAGATGATGGTGTATTATCATAGTTGTGAGAAGAAACAATAACTTTGCATTTTGCTGACTTATTTCCATGTAGAGCAGTATTGAACTCGTCAATAGCCTAAAGGAGTGGGAGAAAAAGAAACAAAAAGCATAAGGAAAGCAGCAACTATTATTTATTGATCAAGTGTCCGTCAAAGCAAAAAGGAAGAAGAAATGAAGACTCAAACTATAAAGAATGTCGATCTAAAGCTAGCAAAGATGTAGATATCATATATTTAACATTTATATGGAATAACCAACAGGAAGTGATCCTTCGTTTGCAAAATTGATCAATGCTCCTTCATGCTGCAAGAAGCATCACAGGCCATACATTTCAACAAAGTCACGTTCAAAGTCTCAATACAAAACTGGCAAGTTAATACACCTATTAAGATGCTTCAAAATTTCTATTTAAGTCAACTTTCTGGAGATATGAACTCAGGTAACCAGATTGATTGGCCTTGCATTCTTTGAGCCTGTTTGGCCAAACTTCTAGGAGGCCAAAAGTACTTTTTTTTTTGTCAAAAAAGTACTTTTTTGAAAAATTTAAGGTGTTTGGCCAAGATGAAAACGTACTTTTGAGCAGCAGCAGAAGCAGTTTTTCTGTTTTTGGGGAGAAGCTACAAATTCTAACTTCTTCCAAGAAGAAGAAGCAAAAAATTAATTTATTCAAGACAAAAATATCCTTACAATAAATATATATTTTTCAAATTATCCCTCATTATTTTAATAATTTTCGTTTCCTTTTCCTTTTTATTTCTACTATACATTTCTTCTCTTTTTAGTTTTAAACATATTTTTATTCTCTTTCTCCTATTCCTAAGAGTAGAATTTAAATTTATATTGAATTATATATTTTGACATATTTAAATTATCATGTAAACCGTAGGTAATACCAAATAGTCAATGTTATTGCTTTGTAATAACTATATTTTATATTGATTGAAATTTTTAGTTTATATTTTTACTTTAGAATTCTTTTATAATAAATGTTTAAATTTATTTTTCTTTTTTAAATAATACTAAATGCAAATTGAACCTTCACTATCCTTTTTCGTAATTTGATACTTAAAAGTACTTTTTGAAAAGATTGGCCAAACACAATGAGATTGCAAAAAGCACTATTTAAACGAATTAGCCAAACACAAACTGTAATTTTACACAAGTACTTTTCCAAAAAGCACTTTTGAACAAAAACACTTCTCAAAATAAGCACCTTTTGGCAGCTTGGCCAAACGGGCTCTTATTCTTATGCTTTAACTGAAATTCATTTGAGAACAATTAGCAGCAGCTACTCAGGGAAAGGTCATCATTTTATATTTTATTTTATTTCTAGGATAAGGTGGGAAGGGCCATTTTTGTTTAGAATCAATACCTTTAGCTCAACATCAATATAATCAGCTCCCAACTTCATTGCTAATCGAAGTGCATCCAGTCGACTTGCTTCATCACCAGCATACTGACCACCCTCCCAAGTGGGCCTAGAAACGTGGGCAATGTAGGAAAATTTTAAAATGCGCTTTTCAATGTCTAGAAGTAAGAGAAGAACATTATTCGAAATGAAGTAAGAGGAGAACTATAAATCAGGAAGTAGAGCTATAATTATAAACGTAAATTGTAATTATATGTCCCTCCCCCGACCCGACATATAGCGAGAGCTTAGTGCGTCGTACTGCCCTTTATTGTAAAAGAACAAATATTTAATATCACTTGTTCGCAACTGCTACAAATTCCATCATAAGGTTGAACTCAGAGCTAGTCAAGCCCAGAATATCTTGCATGAAGACATAGAAGTGTCCTAGTTTTATAAGGTCGAAACTGTTTAATAGGCATTGCACCAAAAAGCATGCTTATCCCTGCTTGTGTTATTGAAGTGTGGTTCACAAATTTCCATGTGAAAACATGCATAAAACTGAAGCGCAGGTTGTTGACGAACAAGAATATCAATATAAATAAAGAAAATGGCTCATTTAGGTTATAATAAGCCAGACAGAAAGATTAATATCTTTCTGAGTTAATGCAATTGGTGTCCTGAAGAAGCTAGTGATGAGAAAGTCAACTGGTCAAAACTTATATAGAAAAGATCCTAGTGCCATTAATGTCTTCCAGGGTGCAGGGACAAATTAGATAGTAGCAAGCAACCGTATCCCTCTGCCTTTAGGATGGTCTAAGCTAGATTTTAGTGCTCCTTATGCGTGTATCTACAGGATGTCAGATATTTACCTTGCTAATATTTACCCCTGCCTCACACCCAAACTATAGCTGCAAATCGAAGAACATACAGTGTACTAATCAAAAGTGAAGTGGGATCAACCAGGGGAAAGCATTTTCATTCCCTTTCATCCTAACTTTAAGGCAAATCTTGCAAGCGGGGACTGCTTCTGTGCTCTAATTTATTGCAAGTCAAGCTGGTGACAAGTTTTTAACTGAAAGAAAAGAGATCGCACCTTTTTTTTGGATAACCGAGAAATCCTCAAGGCCCAGCGGCATATTGTTCAAAGCTAAGTGCCCCCCCTCTCCCACCCTTATCCACTTAAATACCGGGCTTTTGTTTGCGGCAGAGTTCGAACCCGTGACGTGCACCTAAACCCGCACATCACGAGTTGCGCTCTTACCACTAGACCAAAGCCCTGGGGGAAAAGATAGCAACAACAACAAGCTCAGTATAATCCCACAAGTGGGGTTACCCTTACCTTGAAAATGTAGAGAGATTGTATCCGGTAGACCCTCGGCTCAAGGAAAGATGAAAACAAAGTCGTAGCAACAAACAGTAACACCAACACTCCAACAAGAAAATCGAAGCAAAAGAAACAACAAATAGTAGTAGAAACCCACGACTAGGGAGAATATAAGACTAATACTAATACTACTGGTAAGGCCAAGGAACACACTCGACTATCTAACCTTATACCCTAATTCTCAACTTCCACTGGGGCAAAGATTGCATCTTACCAAATAGGGATGTAACATTCCAGAGCAACAGATAAAACATATACATTTTCAGTATGAATTCGAACAGTAAAAGGCTTCACAATGAACTGGAGGATGGAATTTTACAAAACTTCATTGTAGAAATTGGCAATTGAAAATGGCTAGAGATTCAGTGGAGATCCAGTACCAGTCAATTTCTCTTTTAAACCTATGTATTACACTTCTTTATGAATACAAAATTTTGAAGCTATAGCATTTCTTCCGGCCAAAAGTTGACTGCACTTGGCTAATCTTATCAACCTAAGCAGAGGTCATGCTTAAGTCCATTTCATTAAGGACCAGAGCATTAATCAGCTAAGTCTCTTGTTCAGTTCCAGAGCCCTTTTCTCATGATACTGTATTCCC